AGCTGATGCGTTGCCGAAGGGGGTTATTTACTCCTAGTATGGTGGTGCCGCAGCAAAATGACTTCGACACAATTGTATAGAATGTTTTAAGGTCATTATATACTCCTTGATCGATTTTATAGCTCCAGTCCCTTGGGCCACTGGCGAACGATGCGAAGCGTTCTGGAAGAAGTGTTCTAATTGCTTGTAATAGTAGCTGCGTGGTGTCATTCTAGGTATAAACATGGCTCCCTGCTTCAAGGCTGTATGATATCTTTGTATAAGGATTCTATCTCATATTTTAGGAGGAGAAGCGCTGTGCTTGTAGAGTATCGAAGTGAGTCCTTATGCCTCCCTCTTCAGCCATCTTCAACCGCTTGCGGAAGACTTAATCTTTCCCTAACGCAGCGGTCACTGTTTCGAAACCCTTGTCTCGACCGCCGATGAGATTCTTGTTGGTAGTCTGCACCACAACACGTTTGTACGTCGTCATGCTGGGTGACCCATTGTCAGTGACCTCCAGGATGAAATGGAGCGCCATCCCCTTCTCCAGCGCTTTCCCCGTGACAATATTGACCGCACATGTCTCTGGCGGAGGGAGTTCGATCTTCACGATCTTCTGTTCGCCGCCTACTGGCACCAGCTCAATGTCTGGAACCAGCCAATGGATCGGCGACTGCGATGAAGTTGGTTCCTTGTATTGAAACCACTTGAATGTCAGTGAGTCGCCATCTGGATCGTAGCTTTGCGATGCGTCGAGAGTCACCTCCGTGCCCGCCTCGACCTCCAAGAGCAGTGGCTCTGGACCTGGCGTGCAGTTATTCACGATCACCACAGGTGCATGGTTCGCCTTGCTGGGCTTGTCTGTCAAGGTCCATTGCATCCGTGCGGCAAAGTCGTTTTGATACTGATCGCGCCATCGCCAGATGGTGGCCTGGCTGCTGCGAAACATCTGGCCATTCATGCCAGTCACCGCATCAACTGCATCGTGGTAGTGGTTTGTGCATCCGCCCAAGTCAACGCGAGAGTATCGTCCGCCCCAACTGCCCCATTCAGGGTGCTCAGGATCTCCAAGGCCATTCTGGATGAGGTAGAGAAATGTAGGCGTATCGCCTTCCATGATGAAAGCGTAGTCGGGGTACACTTTGCCCAAAGGGCCAATCTGGATGTGCTCTTTCAGCCACTCTTTTGTGATCTTACTTTTGTCGGGTCCGCCTCGATCGAAGTCATGCAAGATGTCACCCGAAATTCCAGTCCAGGCGGCGTTCCCATATTCGTTCCACCCATGAACAGAGCAGATATAGAAGATATCAGGGAAAGTGATTCGAATCCAGATGCCGCTGTCGTCCTGGTCGGAGATGGTGTATACCCGTAGTTTCGAACGGAAATGAGCAAAATCTGCTGCAGACTTTGCCTTCTGTGCGTGATACAACGCTTGGGCGAGGACATTGATACCGCCCCAGCAGAGAACCCACAGTGGTTGCGCCGATTGATCCACTTGCTCTATCAGTAGTGCTGCACCGTCACTTATGGGAACATCATCTTTCAACGCCTCTTTCCCATACAACGACGGTCCCGTCTTGATGATCGAGAGGAAATAATCAGCGGGTTCGAACTGGTTCTCCGGAGGTACGTGGGCGTTCAGATTGTGCACAACTTGTCCGTAAGCCTTGACAATGGTTCGCATGTCTTCTGGGTGGACATTTTTCCTCAACCATGTGGACGTACACGCAACTAGGCCTCTTGTGTCAAATTCATTCGAGTAGAGCAAATAGCGGACCAGAGATTCGGCATCGTCAGGTTCATTGGAGATGTCAGAGACAATGAAAACTCGAGGCTTAGTCTTGCAGACTCGGAAGTTCTGTCGCGCTGCCATGTTGATGATGAATCAATAAAAATATAACAATCTGCACTTCGCCTGGAAAAGTTGTCCTAGACATTGCCTGCAGCCACAAAATACACTTTCAGCGTGGTGCTCCTGACAGCTTGAGAGGAATAATGTTGTGGTTTGTGACCTTCAGTAACGGTTTAATGTAGTGCCCAGGCAAGGCTGCGAGGACCAGGGAGCGGCATGCCGTCCGGAAGTCACTCCCAGGGTATACTATCTGCAGATGAAATGTGTCGTTTGCAGTCAACTTTTGAGTTTTCTCGTGGGAAAATCGCAAGCCCGAAAGAGTTGGACGGGCAATGTCAGATTTGCCGAACCGGCGGATCGCCTCTTGGGAGGATCAGCGGGCGTAGTCCGTAAAGAGCAATGGGTGCCTCGGCCTACCCCTTTCGTAGATCAAGTTACAGAGGTGCAAGTGGCACCAAGGACACTTTCCGGTGAAATCCTCAAGAGAAGGTGTGTATACCAGCTGAGGTTTCATCAACAAAATGGGACAGGGAATACCTAGTTGCGAGTGTGTGCCGTGACGCCGCTTGGCACTCGCCACAGACGACGACCTGACGGACTCGGTTCGAATCAGCAGGTGCAGTGTGGAATGAAATCACCCTGGATGAGTATGTATCCACTCCGTGCACCCAATAACTTCGGACAGAATTGTGACCATACCTTGCGGCTGGTGTGGATGGCGAGAACCAGTGAACAGTGAACAAAGCCTTGTCTCGGGACGCCAGCCTTACTGCCACTATACAGAAGCCTGGTACCATCATTTCTGGTAGCATTTGAAACCTGCACCGACCGGATCACACTTAAACAGAAGATTCAAGTATCTTCTCACTTAGGATGGGAGACTTTGGAGATTGTTTTTGAATCCGATACACAGCCGGCGGCCAAACGCAGGGAAGTTTCATGTCCCACGCGCTTCATGATGCGGTCGACGCCGAAGTGGTGGCTATTGGCGCGGGAAGAAGACCTCCTGGTGTTGTTCTCAACCAATGTACAGGATCCCATAAGACCGCACACGGGTCCCTGATTAGTCTTCTATAGCGAGAAATACCAAGATACTCAGCGGCGAATTTTGACCTCTTCAAAGTCCATTTCCGTTGTCAACCACAGGATGGCGTACATGAGACTGGAATTCGAATTGGAAAGGCTGCATGTGATATTTAGCTGCTCATGTATGGAGGGCGGCAGCCTTCAACCCCATGGCAACATCAGTCAAGCAAGAGTAAGACTGAATGAAACCTTTTGGGCGCCGGGGCTTTTTACGCACATCCACAATGTGTTTGTGCTGTTTCTGTCCTTCCTGCTTCATGTATCAAGCTGGCTAGGTTCGGTGCAGGCTAAATCTACTAGTTGGGGGACTGTTGTCCTGAATAACGCGTCCTCTATGCTTCCACGGTGTTAAATAAGCAACCGGATCCAAAGCTCGAGGCTCAGCCTCACTGACCATACAACAGACCTTGTTGTAGACATGTCCACAAGCTGTGCATCTTGAATTATGCGTGCTGTTCCAGGTAGTGATGGGGCCGGGGCATGAACACCGTCAAGTTATTGGCATATCGAAAAAACCTGTCGACAAAGACGCCCTACGCAAGCCCACTCCTTCTTCTTCGGAGCACATTGCAAGTTGGTTACCGTCTGCCATGCTAGCGGAATCTGGTACAGGTTGATGTCGCTCTTTGCTTTAACAAACCCTGACGGCTAAAATACAAAAGAGGAAAGCATGCTGCATTTGATTCCGCAAGGCTGGTTTGCAGCCAAGGTCGCCGAACCATCAAGAAGCAATTGGCTTGGGATCAAAGCTCTGCTACGATGTTCGGTACCATACCGTGTCGTCTTCAGCTGATAGTGCAGCACAATTAGCCGAATGCCTTGTGTAACCGCCTCCGCTGCTAATAGTGGATTGCAGTGACAAAGCCACCACTTAGGGCGAAGCTCATCATCGCCTTGCTTCGTGTTGACTGCGTGGCCGCTTTCCATTGGTGCCTATGCTCTCAAGGATGTCTTCGGGCAACCTGAGGCTCAGCTTCATCATCTTCCCCTCGAAAATGTGTGACTGGAGCGCCTGCATTGCTCGCACATTCAAGGCGTCGTGAATAACTACTGCAGCAGTGCCTCCCTCGTCGATGTCAAGCAACTATGACGCCCTTGTCATCTCAACATCCGACCAATCATATAGAAATGACCATCCACACGTGGCTCTGCCTCGTGTGGAACTGACTGTCAGTCTAGTCGTTTGAAAGAAGAGTACATATATAGAGAGTTTGCCCTTCCAAAAACACGAAGCCTCACACAGACTTCGGCCTTGCTGTCTACAGTTGTACACAGGCGATCAGTTTCTCTACTTCGCTGGCCAGTTTCCACTGTCCCCAAAAGCTCTCTTGCAACTCACCTTCCGATCTCTCTCCTTGGTAAATCAACTCAATTTTTGACCTACATGGCACAACACCGCGTTCCCTCCCCGGAAGAGACTCGCGATTGGTACCTGTTTCTTGAATACACTTGGCCAAACCCCAAGTCCACCCAGTCACATCTTCCCGACAATGACAGCTCCCTCCTATTTAGGCCCTTGCGCTATTTGTTCGTAAGCTTATGGTATCATATCTCAAACATTCTTCACAGAAACACTTTCCGTCATGCTGCACTGCTCGCAGTATCGGACCATCCGAGTCGAACCGGCGTAAGGGGTCTGGTGTGGGACCTGGTTTTATCCGAAGACAGCACGAAAATCATTCCCACTACGTCGTATTATAGTCGATCAACCATCAAGCCCTCTTCGATACCAGAGAATTGGAAAGTGTTCTCCAAACAGGTACTATCTTATGGACCCTTTCGGCAATACAGACGGATCGGAAAGATTCATTCTTCTATGGTTAGAATCAACTCAACTGGTTCGTTTCTATCCCCCCTGTTGTTAAGACAATTTCAGCGCTCACATCTACAAAGTGGCAACCGCGCTTCAACCTTGGGACAATGCAGAATACAACAAATTGTCGGCGAATTGCGAACAACTCGCGAAAGCCGCCATCACAAACTTGGAAGGCGATCTCGTGGAGAAAAACTGGAAGAGCTTATTCTTCGCCACGTTCAGATACGACGCAATGGCTCTCCTCGTCTCTCTTTCCACCACGGCATGGAATTTACGGTTGATCGCCTTCACGTTGTTGGGCTCGGGGACACCGTCCTCATTCTTGGCGCGCATCTGGCATTCATCGGACTGATTCCTCTGGTCTTCGCACTTTGCCTTACCGGTGATATTCTGTGCGATTTGATCCCAACCTATGTGCGACAGGAGCATTTCATCGACAGACCATTGGTGCACAAGGTTTTCTATCTAGTGAGCCCCTCAGCCTGTCCTAAAATACTTCCCGCCTTTCAGCGTGGAGACTTGTGCTAAGCGTCGATACAGATGATCCTACTGGGCCAGATTTCAGTATTCTATGGACTTCACAACGCCCGAAACCGGGTCATGACTTACTACAACGACATTTTGAGACTCAAAATGTCGACGGTACATATGAGCATCCATCCTTCATACCTCAAACTGTGGTTCTGGCAGGGCGTGGCCTGGCAAGAACTCTTCGAGCGAAAAGTAGTCCCGATACTCCTGATGGTATTCCCTATTCTGTTGCCGACCCTGGAGCGATGGTTCCCCTAAGGATGCGCTGGCTATACTCCACTGGCACAGATACTCCCTCCACGCGTGGCTGGAGTATAAATATGCATTTGGTAAATTCATCCAGCTTGTGTGCTGATTTGAGCCACTCTACTTTGACGATTGGATTGGATGACTGCCTTCTCGGACTCTCAACGCCTGAGAGTGTATGGAATTGTTTCTAGGACTTTGCACAGAATACCAAAGGTCATTGGCGTCTAGGATTATGCGGAAAATATCCTTTCACTCACAAATGAAAACTACGCGCTCGTTGACAGCCACCTCGTCGCTATTGAGTAGCTCTAATTACCTACATTCCAAGATTGCGTCTTCTCTTGTGCTAATCATTCCTGGACAAGGCTTGGTAAGTACGGAGTAGGGGTCGGGCCAGCCAAGATTTTCCGGGGCTAGGGCAAAGTCCCGAGACCACCACGATAAAGATCTCGCTACAAGCGCGATCCTCCATCACCAATAGTGGAATGCGCAAATACTTCACTCATGTGGTCCGGCATCTGCGTACATTGTCCACGCCCACAAGGCCAGAGATGAAGGGGCTTCGCACAGTCCTCGACTGGGACGGCACGTTGACCAAACGCGACACTCTGCACGTCGTCGCGGCAATTGGCTACCAACGCAACCGACATCGGGATCTCATGCCATGGGACCAAATAGTCCAGGCGTACATGTCGGACTACAGGAGACACCGGGACGCGTATCACCCGGCAAGGCCAGATCGCAGGACTCGCGCCCAGGAGAGCGCGTGGCTGGCCAGTCTGAAGGACGTCGAGTTGCGGAGTGTCCACCGGGTACAAGGCGCTGGGATCTTCGCGGACGTCACCGAGCAGGAGATATGCAGGGCGGCAGAGGATGCAGTGCGGAACAGCGAGGTCCAGCTCCGGGATGGATGGGAGGACATTGTTTCACTTGCGAGACACTCGAGGGACGACGGCGCAGCCCCTTCCCCCGTCTCCATCATCAGTGTGAATTGGAGCGCCGCTTTTATCAGAGCGTGTCTATCATCAGCGCTTGGAGATGCCGCACCCGCGAAAGGCACGATCGACGCCATCCCAATTCTCGCCAACCGCCTCGCGTGCGAACCTTCTGGGGGCGTTCCCGGCCCGGCCGGTATTCGCACCAGTGCCGATAAACTGGATGCCCTCAACGCACTCCGAGACGGCGGGGATTGCGATGTTCTCTACGTCGGCGACTCGCCCACCGACTTTGACTGCCTTGTCGCCGCCGACGTGGGCGTCTGTGTGCGCGATGACCCGATGGGCAGCGGGCAGGCCGAGTTGAAGGAAAGTCTGGAGCGCGTGGGCGTCGAGGTGTCGAGGCTCGACTGGGACGGTTGGGCCGAGTATCAGAGAGAAGTACTACGGGGCCAACGGGGTCAAACGAAAGCCAATATTATTAGGCCGGTGGTCTGGTGGGTCGCGGATTTGAGGGAAGTTGCAGCCTTTGCTGAGAAGTATTACCACCTGGATTGATTCGCGTTGTCTCGATGAGACAAGTTCTCAAGTGGTATTTGCCGGCCACCGCGCGAGTTAGCATGTCGGGAAGAACCGTTTCATCGTCTCACAATTGGCAGTGGCAAGCACGTTTAGACGAGGAGAATAGACGTGGGAAAACAAGAAGTGTGGGGGAGAGAATAAACCACGGTGCGTTGACTACGAGCACAACTGACATGGCGACACAAACCGCCCCAAGGAGTAGGTGCATTTGCTTCTGGTCCTGCTCAAGAGGTTTCGATCTGACTATGTATACGAGTTTCCCAATTTTGGCATTGATGGCGGCAAGCAGACCGTAGCTAATACTCCATCCACTCCAAGTCCCAACGCCTCGCTAACCGACAAAACGTTCATTTTCGTCCAGTCCCCTTCCCGCCTCATGCTGCAACGCTGATGCCAAACATCTCGTGGTCTGCGGCAATCTTCTTCTTGAACAGTCCCAAGTCCGAGATCAGCGCTTCCATCTCCGCCTGCATGTCCGCAGCCTCGTCGTCGACCTCGGACTCAGTCTCTGCCTCGTCGCTAGAGGCCGTATCATCCTCGTATATCATGTCTGGCGTCGGTGCCCTAGACCTCTCGCAGACCGATTCGGTTTCCTCTTTGTTGATGACGATCGGGTTCTTGAGCTCGTCCAGCACAAGCTTCAAATGAATGCCCAAGGCCTCTTTTTCTTCCTCCAGTTGTCGTACCTTGGACTCTGATATGGCCAACTTCTCTTCCATGATCTGCAGCATGTTTTCGTACTTGGTCGTGAATTCGCGAATCTTCTCCGATTGAGCTTCGGCGGTTTCTTGCACAGCTTTCATCACAGAGGCACTACCATTCTGTTGCTGCTGGCTTAGTGTCCATCTCAGTGCTCGGATCGTCTCTTGCATTTCATTGATCTGAGCGTCCTTCTCTGCCGACGAGACATGATCCTGGTTGACAATAGCTTTGGTGCGAATATGTTTGGCCTGGTCGGCATATCGGAGGGTTGACAAGGTTTCATCGTAGTCTGACGGCGCTATGCATGCAATCATGGCAGTCTTTGAGTTTCCTCCAAGTGAATCCTTCAGCAACCAGGTCAGGATTGAATCGCGATACGGCACGATGTCCCGATTTGTCCGTTTGGCCTGGTTGATTCGGCCATGTTTAGGATCGGCGAGTGCCGCAATCACTCTTCCCAAAGTCGTCAGCGATTTATTGATGTTTCCACCTTCTCGAAGTCTCTGCCCAGTGGCCTCGGTCGCTTTGGCACGCTCAGACCCAGCCAAATCCACTAGTCTTATCCGGGCCAATCTTTCGGTGGTCTCATCTGTTCGATAATCGTGGTGGATTTGTTTCAGCATGATGGTGAAGACTGCATGAGACCGAGAAGATGTGTCATTCATTTTGGTCGAAGCCGTGGTCCGGGAGCTGTCGCCCATGCGCATGTACTTGAGGATCTCGCCGTAATTCTTGACTTGGATTTCCGTCAAGTCCTTGACATATGGCCCTTCGGTAGGAGATTCGCGGATTTTGAGGTATTGCGGAGGTTCGGTCCGGGGCTGGAATAAATCTCGCACATGCTCGTTGTAGACTTCAAAGTACGATACTCGAACACTGTAACTGATGTTGGCGCTCTCGTTGGACTCGATGCGTTGGAACAAGTCCTCGCAGGTTCGTGGTATCAGGCCGGGCTGCTCTGGGGTACCCATCATGGTATAACTCTTGCCTGAGCCCGTCTGTCCATATGCGAAAATGCATGTGTGGTAGCCTTCGAAGTTGTGATCTAGGAACTCCTCTCCCAAGCAATTGTAGACATCCTCTTGCGTTGCATAGTGTTCGTCTCGCGTATTGTGCGACCAGAATGAATTGTCAAATGTAAACAACTTCTCCTCCACCACTTTTCTCGTCTGTGCTCGTGCGTTCGCAGGGTCGGTTGAGGGAGGCACCAGCAGCTTCGTCGACTGGGTTCGAGGGTTCATCTCAATGAGGCATTGTGCACCTCTTTCTATTTCTGCCGACAGTTTATTAGCGTTGGCTAATTGAGAGGCTGTGGTATCCTTACCGCGGGGAAGAAACGCCCTGACTCTGACGACGACTTTGACATTGCCTCCGGGGCCCATCGTGCTGTTTGTTGGTGTCATCGGCACACTCACAGGCGTCTTGGACCTGAGAGAGGGGCTCGAGGCGGTCGAGTGTGTTGGGGTCTTTGATCGGACCTCATGAGTGAGTGTGCGGGCGGGCGGTACCATCGTCGAAGTTCGGTCGAGAAGATGGATGCACTCTTGGATGACGGCGCGATATCTGCAATGTAAGGAAACATACATGAAATAACGGTGAAGCGATCGGCCAGCTAATGGGGGGGCGCTAGATTTGCTGCGGTGGTTCGGGGGTCCTGGGCCAAACCCGCGTGGCCCGGGCGACCGTTTCGGGTTAGATCCAAACAATGACGTTGCCACGCCCGGATCTGGGGAGTTTTGGGTTGTTACCCACTCGCTGCCTGCTCTTTGGCCCCCGCCTTATCAGTTCTCCTCACATACTCCGTACAAAGTCGCGTACGAGGTACTCAGTTCCACCTCCCTATGAATTCTCGTATCTCAGGGATATACTATGTCAATAGCCATCCTACCTACCCCTACTACTACCAACAAGACTCCTAACCCCAGACGCCATGCTCGGTGCGAAGTCCATATCCATACAAAACTATCCCCTCATCACAGTTCCTCGATTTTTCGCTTAGTTCCCTTTGTCCCGTTTGTGCCGACCAATCGTGATAACACGGTGTCTTCCTGTCCACCCTTGGTCTCGTCATTGCCTGCGTTGTCCTCCTCCTCACTAGGAGATGAATGTGGTAGTCGTATTTGGGTGGCATCGTCGTTCTGCTCAGACAACACACCTAGACCCACCTCCATCTCAATGTAGTGTTCGGCGTCGTCCGATACATGGTCGATTCTTTTGTCAACTAATCCTCTCGAGTTATCGAGCTCCACGTTTGCTTGCTGAAGCTGTGGCAAGAAACTCTGCAAACGAGACTTGAGGTCTGACGCTCGAGCGGGTAGCGTGGTGAAACGTGGAATTCCTGGACCACTCGCAGCGACATGATCCTCGACGTCCTCGCCTTCCTCCTTCTCCTCCTCCTCCTCTTCTTCTTCTTCCTCCTCCGACATCTCCTCGCTATCTGAATCTTCAGAACCCGAAGACGACGTCGTCTCCTCTTCGTTGTCGTCTCCGCTTTCTCCATCGCTGGAAGAATCTTCTGGAGGTAGTGAACTGACATTCTTTAGCAGTCGATGGGTAAGCCGAGTCGTCGGCAATTGTATGGAAGATGATGAAGAGGAACTTGAAGAGTCTTCGTCATCCTCGACAGAACTTGTTTGATTGAGCAGTGGCATTCCATGAATTCGCCGCTGTTTCGCTGGGCGTCTGTCATTCTGGTCTGACATAATTGCTATATTCTAGACGATGCGGGAACGATTTCAAGCGCGGGAAAATGGAGTGAAGGCACATGGTATTTCTCAAAGACATTCTATCCTTCGGTGATTCAAATGGCAGTTTTCGTTCCGATTTCAAATGACAGAATCCCTGGCCTCTTGGCGCGCCCCAAAGAGGCAAGTTCCGCCGCGCGCGCCATCGACCATCCCACGATTCCGCCTTCCTCCCATGTCCGCGCCGTCGCTATGTCGCCGTGCTGACGGCTCTCTGTGCAGCTTCTCGGACGTCATATGAGAGCAGCCACTGTTGGAAGGCCGCCCTGCTTTTCACTGTGTCTTTCAGTCGATTGCTCATTATCCTCAATCATCAGGAAAATCAGCTTACGGTGAGATTGATCCTCTCCTTCAAACCATTTCCGGCATTGATTCAGCACTTCGATATAGCGTTCTTCCATGTTGGCTTCGTCTTGGCGAATTGTTGAGACTATCTGGGCACAAGAGTACCTTGGCACTCTCACCCTGTCCAATATCTCGAGTCGTTTTGGCAGGTCCGCCTTGTCGGTGATGTAGGTCGCGATCATCTCCAGAGCTCCGGCATCTTCGATGGACTGGCTACCTCCTTGCCCGCGGAAGGGCGGCATCGGGTGTAAAGCGTCGCCGAGCATGGAAAGCTTCCCTTTATGCAAGGTGTCCAATGGTGCTCGGGAGCACACCTTCCACAACAACGGATCCTCATCAGCTGCCCTGAAAATCTCTTGGAACAATGGGTGCCAGTGCCCAACCTCGTCGAGAAGGACTTGCTTGTTACATCGGGCTGTCCAATCTTCGCTGCTGGCGTAGTTTTCGTTGTCTGGCATGAGCATGTCAAACGCCTGGATCGTGCCAAAGCGACATGTCCACCACACAACGAGTTGTTTATCCTTTCCGCGAACAAACCAAATCGTGCCATTGTTCTTGTCGAACTTTTCTTGAATCAGGTGGTCCTGTCTGAACTTTTCCTTGACCACTGCCAGCTTTTCATCGGGGATCAACATCCGAAAGGCCGACATACCGGTTGCCTTGGGCGGATTTTCTCCTCCGCTCACAATCCTTGCGGCTTTGCTCTTGATTCCGTCACACGCCACCACCCAGTCCGCTGCCTTCCACCCCTCATCCGCAAACCTGACCGCTGGTACCTCCGGGTCATAGTCCAGGACCTCCATCGCATACCGAATTTCGATAGTGCCTTGCCCTGGTGCGTCTCTCTCGACTTCCCTCCTCAACATCGACCTCAAGTCCGATCTTGTCGCCATGTAGCTCGGTTCGCCATTGCTCTTCTCATCGTTCACATGGCTGCCCTCTCCGTAGACAAAGTCTAACCGCTCGAGCGTTTTTCCCTCCAGGATATAGCCGGCCTTGTATTTGAGCATCCCGGCGCCTTCCAGATCGAGACCCCACTGCCTGAGAACCTTGACGGCATTTGCGCCTACCACAATCCCAGCTCCGGCATCGGCATCGGCGGAGTATTTCTCATACACGGTCACATGGTGGCCAGCACGTCGAAGAGCGATGGCCGCAGAGAGACCACTGATGCCGCCACCCACCACGATAACTTGAAGCGATATCGGTAGTGTTATAGAGCCCATTGCTGCACTGTTGGATCAGTGATGGGGTGTACTGTTCGCTTGGTGGTGCTTAGAGAATCGATAGCTAAGCGGGCAACTGACAGAGATGCATCTATACACGTACTGTGAACCCTTCGCGACCAAATCGTATACAGTTAAAAGTGCTCAGCTCCGCCAAACTTATATTCATCAGTCATTCAGCCACTCCCGTATGCTATGGCATCAGTCAGCAAGTCTCTTCGATGCTAAGTACCCAAAAGAAGAGTCAGAGTCAGCCCGCACGGACATTCCCCTGGTTTACGGGAAGAAGGGAAAAGTCACGCAAGCTTACGTTCCTCTGTCAACAGTCCAATACACTGCTCTCGAAGGGTATGTGTGTCATTTTCCCAGGAGCAGATGGCAACGTACAAGCTGACATTCATGGCTCAACCGGGATCAAGGTAACATAGTCCGGGTAACAACAACGACACGCCGCCGTCGAAGGACCCGACGGTGAGAGATGCGCACCAGCGAAGAGAGTTTTCCAGTTGTCGCGGGGTGGCTGCGTTGACGAGGCTGGCCTGATTCTCTCGATCTCGAAAACAGAAATTGCAACGACGCAGAGTCTGACAGTGAGACGGATAAGTTCAGCCTCGCATAACAGAATAAGGCCCCAATGTCATGTAAATACAAATACCTACATAATTGGTCCAAGTGGGGTAGTTGATTGGGATTATTTGGTTAGCACTCTATCATTTTGTCAATCGCCACATGGCTCACGTCGTGTCCGTGTTGCTGTCGTCTCGTATTCGTGACGGATAGCATAATCTCCTCAAAACTGCACTTTGTCATCCCAGGCACAGGGCTCAGCCCCGGCCCAGACTCCTAGAGATGTAGGACCCGATTCAAAGAATTGAACAAGAACATCGATCAGCCGGTTTATTCGTTAACCAGACAAAATCACCGGAATCTCCAGCTTTGGCTTTACCAAAGAAAGACGCAGTTTGTTTGATCCGTGGCCGGTTGTGGGCGCTGACTGACAGTAGTGATGGCGACACGATGGGAGCTTTGCCGGGCAATCTGAAACGACAGCAACATCTGCGTCCATGCACAGCACTTGGTTAGACTGCTGTATGGAGTCGTGGCGATGAAGTCAGAGTTTATTACGAGTAAGCGCCAGTACGTGTGACAGAGAGCCGCTTCATGAGCTGTATACTCGACAATAGTCCACTATCTCTTATACGGCGGAGCATTTCATCCCTCAGTTGCGTCTTGGCGCCAACCCTTCGCAGCTCACGCTGCTGCTGGCGGCTAGGGACTTGTATCACCTCCCACACGGAGCGGTGAAGTCGACTTCACATCTACCCATTCGTAAGAGTGCGTTGCCGAGAGATGCAGGTCGCCTCCTGTTCCTCTCATGGGCGCTATGGCTTTGAAAAGAGCACATCCTGGAGAGGATGGAGGATCGGAGGAGGCCGTGCGGAAGATCCCAAGACTGATTGAGAGCAACGGTGACCACGACGTATGTGAAGAGCAATGGTGTGTTGTTTTGCAAATGCTTTCTACCCCAGCTCCCCTCTAGTTTTAACACCATCCTGAGTCAGCACTCTCGATGCCGGTGACGGAGATGTCGTCGTTCGATGTGGCCAATGGGCCTGGCGGTGTCACAAAGACATCCTCGCCTCGCGCTGCTCCTTCTTCAAGACATGCTGTGAAGGTGGATTTACGGTGTGTGTGTTTCTCGCTTGCCTCGCTTCTCCATACTTGCCGTCCCTGTGCCCAGAGAAGACTGTGAAGATTCTCCCCACCCAAATCCCACAATCCCCCAATATATATATATATATATATTCATGCATCACCCAGGAGTCCACAACGCACGAAATCGGTCTCCCCGACGACGAACCCAGGGCCGTCCAAGCCATGCTGCGCTACCTCTACACCCTGGACGTCACCCAGATCTACCGCCCAGGCGACCCGCTCTTCAGCGACGTGGAGCGCGACCTCGACGTCTTCGTGGTCGCGGACAAATACGGCTTGGACGAGCTCCGGGCTTACATGAACGCGAATTTGGTGCTGTTCTACGAGACCGACCAGAGACCGCCGCGTGACCCGAAGGGATGGAGTGCGAAGAACCAGGAAGGGTTTGGCGGGGTGTTGAGGAAGCTGGCGGAGCTGGACACGGACACGACGGAGATCAAGCGGGCCGTGGCGAGGTTCGTCGTGCGACGGGACCGGACGGTCATGAAGTGGGCGTCGGTGCGAAGTGCGATGGACGAGCAGTTGTGGCTGGCGGACGAGGTCGCCGCGGCGGCACTCGCCGCCAAGCGAGAACTGGAGCAGCGTGTCCAGTTCCTGGAACGGGAGACAGAGGAGCTCCAGGAGAAGCTCGAGCGCGCGCACGACGAGAACGAGGAGATTGCCGGCGAGGTCGAGGTGCTGCATGGCCTGCTCTCGGGCGCCGCCTCGGCATATGTCGAGTACGATCCTCAGGCGGATGAGGAGGACTGCTGGACCTGTCACGCGAACACAGGCTGGTAGAGGTCGTGGCTTGACAAAGCAGGTGATCCCCAGTGTGGCCAGATACCTAGGTAGTCAAGTCCTGTCCTAGTCAGGCACGTATCTAGATGCCCAGAAAGGCGCAAATCACTTATAGGGACCAGTGCATAAGTGTATAAGTGCAGACTTCCTCATTCCACGGCCATGCGCTGTGTCGTATGTACCCGAAGTTTGTGCTCCATACCTAAGCGCCCGCCCTCTCCTAACCGCCGCAGCCTCGTCCAATGACGTCTTCACAAAGCTGCTTGTTTCCACCGCCCCCACACACCTTCACGACGTCCGCCTTCTCAATACCTACTCGTAGTAGCTCTCGCAGGTTGTACGTGTACATCCTGTACCACTGACATGCCATTCCTGCTTGCGTGTCACTCAACGGTCTAAATGAGAACTTCACAGTCTTGGTCGCGCGGTTGTCTATACTTAGGGGGGCGGTTACGATCAGAAGCTCTGTCGTCCCTATTCGGGAGGTATCTAGGCAGACAGGTAGGACATGTCATTTGGGTGTCAGCTGCTTGCCACATACATGACCTGGTAGGGTATGGTCTCTTAGTGTCTATCCCCCGGGCGCGTAAAAGGGTGTTTGAAACCTCGACATCTCGCGCGCATCGACGGCCCCCTGGCGTTTCACGTTTCGAAACATGCATACTCACACTCATCCACACCCACTCCCACACCCACACATGCGAGTACATCCACCATACATATGCACTCACTCAGAAGCTCTACTTGCTGGCCATTAACCGTGCATACGTGAGTGCGTGAGTGAGTGGGTGATCATGTGGCATGAGCATCGCACCCACCCACCCACCCACCCACCGATCCAAGCCCACCCCGGCGCGTAACAGTGACGGAGGAACACCCTATCCTCCCTCCCTCCTCCCCTTGACCCTGGCTGGCCCCGGCCCCGGCCATGGCTTCTGGCCTCGCTTATGCATGGCAGATGACGACGATATCTCCCAAGCCTCACCTTCCCTGCCCTGCCCGTACCTACGAGCACTGCTGGGTACGCTTGGTTCCCTTACTCCTGCTCCCGCCTGCACAGGTCACAGAGCGGGTCGAACTTGGCTGGCTGCACGCGTTCCTGCAGGATTGCAGGTTTTTGGGAACGGGGAGGGGTTACAGGACTGGAAAGAAATTGTGACTTCAGCGTCAGAAAAAGAAATGCTCTTATTCCCCCAAAGACCATTTTCTTAACGCCCAGCAAATCGAAGGTTTGGTTTTTGGTTTTTGGTTTTTTCCTACATATTACTCCTTAAAACCACCAACAGGTGCTCTTGCTCGCTCGGGACCAAGGCTCGGAACCGATTACCTATCCTCGTGTACCTGCTGCTGCTGCTCTGCTTGAGTCACTTGCGCCTTTCTTGCGCAACGCTTGCCGTCCACGATGACAGCAACCATATCTCAAGGCATCTCTTCAAACGTATCTCCCGGCGTCAACAGTGTCGCTGAGCCCATTCGGCCCTCATTGCCGCGCCGCTCCTCTTCGCTGCATAAACAAGTGATAGCCAAACTCCGTCCGCTGCCATTCCAATACCTCTGGTCAGTCTGGCACTCCAAGTCACACTTCCAGCCTCCCGGTAGCAACATCCCGCCCTCGGATGCATATCAATTAACGCTGCTGGTCGATTCGGTCGCTGACATCGGCACCTTCTACCGCATTTTCAACAACCTGCCTTGGTCTCAAGTTCGAACAAAGGACAGTATTCACATTTTCCGCTCCGGGGTCCAGCCGTTATGGGAAGACGAGGAAAACCGAAAAGGTGGCCGTTGGTTGATTCGAGTCCGTCCGGACGAAGGGAGAGATGTCAGGTGCTGGGAGGAGATATGTCTGTTGTGCTGTGGTGGAGAATTGCAGGCGGCCATTGCTCAAGGTACGTCTCAGCCCTAGCTCCATCGCTGAAGAAGCCTTGGTGATTATTCACCGATGATTTGGTTCGACAGAACGTGACCATATCCTCGGAATGTCCTTCTCGCCACGACAATACTTCACGCACATCTCAATATGGACCAAGAGAGGCGATAACCTGCGAAGTATCATGTTGATGGAACGGGCTATTCTCGCCGGCTTGTCGCCCGACCTTAGACCCAAATCCAGCGCCGACTTCAACTACCGGAGACATGCGGAGAAGATAGATATGCACAATGTGCAAATGCAGGATCGACAATCGCAGATACAAGCCCATATCCAAGTCCCAGTTTTGCATGCTTCGATGGGTCTGGGCTCAATGATCAGACGACCCGGCCCTGTACGTGCCTTGACAGTGGGGTGAAGGTGAAGTCCGGATGCTGGATCACCGACCAGGGACGTATCGGTCAATAGGCACAGGATCGCGATCTCTGCGGACATCACTTCTCTCTCTCTCTCGTCTTCTGTCGTCCCGTCGGTCTTCGCGACGGTCGTCCCGACGGTCATCTTTTCTGTCATCCCGGCGATCATCTCGTCGATCATCACGACGCCGGCTTCGATCTCGTCTGTCCCTATCACGGTCGCGATCTCGATCCCGATCCCGCTCACGACTTCGATCACGCTCTCGCTCCCGTTCCCTGTCGCGATCTCGATCTCGCTCCCGGTCGCGGTCTCTGTCTCTGTCTCGATCCCGGGGTCTATCGACGTCTCGATCTCGGTCGCGCTCTCGCTCTCGATACCTATCTCGGGACCTATCCCGCTCACGGTCGCGGTCGCGGTCTCGGTCCCCACGGTCCCCACGGTCACGCTCGCGCTCGCGATCCCGATCTCGTTCTCGTTCTCGGTCCCTATCCTTCTCTCTGTCCCGGTCTCTTTCCCTTGATCGGTTTCGTTCGCGCTCGCGGTCACGGTCTCTGCGTTCATGGTCGCGATCGCGACCTCCAACTTCACGATCGCGCTCGCGCCCCGATTCGCGGTCACGGTCTCTACGTTCATGGTCCCGATCGCGATCTCCACCTTCACGATCACGCTCGCGCCCTGGTTCGGGGTCACGGTCACGGTCCCCATCCCGGTCTCGATCTTTGTCACTGCGATGACTGTCGTACTTTCTTCTCGGCTCTCGGTCACGATCTCTGTCAGTATCCCGGGGTTGACGTCGTTGTCGATCACGTTCACGTTCCTCTTCAGTACGATGGACACCGCCTCCAGGGACATAGCGGTCGATACCTAACGGCGATGCTGAGCGAGGTCTTCTTTCTCGAACGGAGCGTTTCTCATGATTAGGTGATGGGGAATCGCGCTGGCTTCGGGCTTCGCCTTCCTCGCGATCTTTACTGGGACTCCGGCGGCGAGCTGGTTCAGGTTTGTCTTTTTCTTGGACGGATGGCTTTTTGTCGCGGGATCTGCTTCGACGGTCGGGCTCGCGTTTGTGGCTTTCTCGAGATCTGTCTCTTCGTCGGGAAAATCGGTCCGACGTAACATGTTTCCGCGAGCTGTCGTGTATTTCAGACTTGTCGAAATTGTATTCGTGTCTCTGCTTGGACTTTTCTGCCATTTTTTTGCCTTCACTCAAAAGAAGTTCGAGGGCTGTGGCCTCTAAATCCTTCTCGTCCGTTTGAACGTCTTTGGCAGCTGTGGATCCTGCAACCGAATCTCGTCGATCGGTGCTCTTTCGGCTTGTTCGTTCATGGTCACGATCTTTGTCGCGTTCACGGTCGCGGTCTCTTTCTTTCTCCCGCTCCTTTTCATATCGAGCATATCGTTCCCGTCTCTCTTCCTCACGCTTTCTGTGTCTCTCATCCCTGGCCTTGACCCTTTCTGCTTCCCGCTCTTCTTCCTCCTTCCGTCTCTTTTCGCGCTCAATTCGTCTCTCTTCTGCCTCTGCTTCACGTTTCTTCTTCTCCTCTTCTTCTCGCTTTGCTTCTTCTTTCTTCCGCTTCCGTTCCTCTTCCTGCTTGATCTTGGCCTTCAATTCCGCCGTCTCACGAAGCAACTGCTCCATCCGAGCTCTGTTCTTCTCTCTTTCAGCAGCCCGGTTTTGAGTCTCCGCCGCGTATTGCTCATCAGACTTGCCGCCCCGCTGCTCCTCTTCAGCTGCGACTTCAGCCCCGACGTCTTCCCTGCGAATGTCACGTACAGCGTCCAGCACAGTGCTTAAATGTCTCGCAATCTCCTGGTCGATCCTAGATTCGACATCTTGGTATATGCCGCTTCGGTCTACGGCGCCTTGGATCAAGGTTGCTGCCTTGCCCCGTTCTCGACTGAGTAGATTTGGGTCTTTTTCAATCTCCGCCTCCGCAATGGTATGGATTTGTTCCGTGAGGGCGGTTTTCGCATCAGACGTGTTGTAGGAAGCCCATACTTGCTTTCGAAGGCTGTCGTAGCCGCCTTTCTTCTTGAACTTGAGGAGGAGCGCATCAATGGTGGATCGCTGTTCTTTGACTAGAGGTAGGTCCGAGATCTTGAAACGCGGACGCAACGAGAAGGGAGGGGGGGACTCGACCGGTGGCGCATCTGCCATGACTGTGTCAGCCATGTTGCCGACGACTTCTTTGCAGCGAGTCGAAAGAGAATTTATTGTGAAGGTAGTGTGAGGATCGAAATCCCTGGTTTGAAGTTTAACGCGAACTGCGCGTTTGGTTGCGCTCACGTGCCTCAACTATTGCTACGGCGAAGTATGGATCCTTGAAGCGCAGTATCCCAGGGATTGTCCAATTCTGCGTCCGGCTTGCCCGATATCCAGCCTTTTCAAAGCGAGCAGGAGTCTATGTACTTAGCAGCAGGCAATGTATACTTTTGTTCCCACGACTGATGATGTACAGTCTACTTTTCCAAGTCCTTGCTGATTGATGCGCCACACTCCCACCCAGCGCCGATTTACTTCCAAAGAAAAGACCTCTTGCTCTTCCCCAGCCCGTGCTCGCTGTGGTGCTGGAGTAGCGGATTTATCTTTGAAACAATCCTTCTGATGCATGAAACCCAGCCTCCATCCCAAGGTTGAAACCTTGAATATCTCTTTTCCGAAGTCCGTTACAGCCACGGTTGGTTTTACGAGTCTTGTCCCTTGCTTCCAAGACCTCTCAGTCGTAAGAGCTTGGAGCACCACTCCAGTTGCCTGTCGGTAGCAATTCACTGACTGCTGTCCCTAGAAGCAGGATATTTTGCAGAGCATAATCGGTCCTGTCTCCGTCTGCTCAAGGTGCTAGGTAATACCACCAGGGTCAAAAATGCGAAGGTCTCTCTCCGGTGGGCTGAGAAATCGGAGAAGTCGAGTTTTCATTTGACTTGGGCTGTCTTGCTGTCATTAAGGTCGTAAATTCCTTTAGGGACTCATTCGCCATCTTTTTGTTCGTTATTTTGTTGGGTTTCAGTGCTTCCTTCATTCGGGTTTCTGTACTGCTCAAGTATCTTCTTCAAAGCTGTCCGTTTGATCGGCTTGGGAAGAAAACCGTTCATGCCCGCATCACGACACGCCGTTCGGTTTATCTCGTGGTCAAACGCCGTCAGCGCAAGGATCGGAGCATCAAACCCTAGCTCCCGCATCTTCTTTGTAGATTCGATTCCGTCCATGCGCGGCATTTGAATATCCATCAGAACAAGTGAGAAAGACCGTGGCTTCTCGTTCTCGTTCTCTTTTTGGGAGTATGATTCTCGTACAATGTTGAAAGCCTGCTCTCCGTCCTCGGCCAATGTCACGTCGTTCACTTTTTCGAGCTTGAGTAACTTCAGGATCACCTGTTGATTGACGGGGTTGTCTTCTGCGACCAGAACTTTGAGAGTGCACGCTTCCGCAGCAGCTCCCGATGGCAGAACTGGTGTTTTCTTCTCGGTAGTTTCCGTGGTCTTCGGTTGCTCTCCTAATTTCATTCCCGTCAAGTCATTCGTTTCATCCGGTGTCTTTACAGACATGATTGATGCGAGCCGATTGTTTGGAGGGGGCACGTTTGGCCTCTTTTCTGGTTTGGGCTGCTGGGCTACAGCATCCACTGCTTCTGAGCTCACATTCCCGTCTATCAGGTATGGCTGAGAGAACCCAACAAGACGGGGCACATCCAGTTGGGAGTCTTTGTCTTGTTTCGAATATACGGACGTCTGTCTCGATCGTATAGGTTGGCGTGGATCTCTCGACCTACGAGATTTTGTACTGAAGCTTTCAAATTGGATGCTGCTGGAAATACTTCCGGGTTTTGGTCGCGCAAGTGAGTCAGATACTGAAGGCACAACTTCTTTGGTGTAGCGCAGTGGCAGAGAAAGGGTGAATGTACTGCCAATGTCGACAGTACTCTTTAGCGTAATAGTGCCGCCCATCATGCCTGCGAGCTGCGAACATATCGCCAGCCCAAGACCGACACCACCATGTTTCTTGCTTAAAGCCAAGTCACCCTGGACGAAGGGTTTGAAGATGTCTTGTTGTAAATGTTCCGGTATACCTGAACCTGTATCTTCAACCTCAAAGTCGAACAGCAATCCTTTCATTGATGACTTTGGCTGGGCATACTCGGTATCGCGTCGCTGCAGCGCCTTGGAAGGTGTAAATGGGGTAGCTGTAGTATTTGAGTATGCCACAGTGGGCATGGCTTCGGGTTCGACAAATCCTTTGTACCGTATTCGCACTTCAACAACGCCTTTGGCAGCTGTGAACTTCAGTGCATTGCTTACGAGATCTGTGCACCAGTTAGGAGAGTGCCACTGACGAATGAACAGCATGTAGTCGACCCGACATGACATCTCAAGGATGGGTGGAATCGAGACTTACTCATCAGAATTTGCAATATCCGATTCTTGTCCCCTCTCAAGCCTATTTCCCTCAGAGGTCCAAGGTCTGCAGGTCCTTTGGCTAGTGCATTCGTCTTCTGTTTTTGGATAGCACCAGCCATGTCATGCCTAGCGACAATGGCGTCCTCCAGGTCGTCTTGATCGGCATCGCCCTGAAATTTTGGCTCGACCCCAATGAAGACCACTCTCAGACTGATATCAGATTCACGCGCTTGCTTCTCAAAGATGGACACGAGTTGTGAGCCGACATCCACGAGTCGAAATGTGTCTTCTTCAATGGCAAAATTTTGACCAAAGGAGCTGCGGCTGAATGTCAGTAAGTCGTTGAGGAGATGTAAGAGCAAATCCGAAGATTTGTAGATGATCTTGAGGGACTGTCGGATGCTGCCAACGTCTTCCTCTTGCATGGCGATTGCACACATGCCGATGATACCGTTCAATGGTGTGCGCAGTTCATGAGATACATTGGCAATGAACAGTGTCTTGCTTTCGTTGGCAGCTTCAGCGGCATTTCGACTTTGCTCTAGTTCTGAAGTTCTCTTCTTCACGCGGTCTTCGAGTCTTCCATATTGGATCGTAAGTTCGTCGGCCATTTCGTTAAAGGTACGAGTCAGATCCGTTAATTCATCGTGAACGACATGGCGATGCTCCGGCACGCGCTCAGGAATCTTAAATACTCGCACGGGTCGAACATGAGTCTTCTTTCTCGCAGACCTTTTGTAGACATTGTGAACCATCGCCTTCTCCTGGACTAGGTCGGCCTTTCCTAACGCATTTTCGCTGTCAGTATCGGACGATTTCTCGGAGGGGTCGTAAGCCTCGTATGTGGTTACTGAATTTTCGGCTGCAGTTCGAAGCGCAATGATCGGCTTGACAGCAAAGTGGGCGAGTGGACTGCAACTAAATCAGCACATGCCAGGGCGCTGGAGAGTGTTTCTACAGCACTCACAAGGAAATAATGATCACAGTGCCAACCACACTGAAAATGCATGCTAGTACAGTATTCCGTAGGTCATTTATAGGAGCAACCACCTCACTGTGCGCCTGGCCAAAGACTACCACCCAGTCAACAACGTCGGAAGAGACCCTGGCATAGCCAGCTGATATCTTCTTGTTGTTCTCGTTGTGGGTAGACATCAGCGCTCCGGCGTTATTGATCTCCCCATTTATGTCAGACCATGCACGGAGCACAGCTGGAAAGTCTTGCATAGGGAAAGGAAGATACGGATCTTTGGCGCGCTCTGGATGGCGGTTACTGTAAGGCGGTAGGACAAATTGGAGGGGTACTTCGGCATTCTCGGATTCTGAGCGACCATAGATGTCGTCGGCGAAGAGGTTGTCAGGACGAGCAGGACCAATGATCACAACCTCTCCAGTCTTCCCCAGTCCAACTGGGGATTCGACGATGTCGTAGAGTGACTTTCCGTCAACCACGACAGTGAGCCATCCAAGGACGTCGGTGCGACTGGTGTTGTTGTTTATGGGGACTGTTAATGAGACAAGCGAGGAGTTACTGTGCAGGAAAAGCGGACCGAGAAACAGCGTTGAGTTGTTGTACAGCAGCTTGTCTTCGTAGATGACAAACGTAGTATCTGATGGCTGATCGCCATAGGTGAGGTTAGGATAGAGCTGGGCTGGACAACCACTGCCGATGTCGCCGAGAAGGACTGCGGTCCCATTCTTGTAAGTAAATGGAAGCACGATCTTGCTGGCCGCTCCCTTCCCAGTGGCGTTGGTAAGGGCACTGTCACCTTGATCTGGCCGGGGTCTGCGAGGGAAAACGGCCGCTTGCAGGAGGACTGCATCGTCGTTGCCGCCAGACAGTGCGAGCAGAAGATTGTCCTAGCCTGACGTCAGTGATTCCACGCGAGGGGTCCGACCAAGTTCACCATCAACCTACCTGTATAGCATCGTAGAGATCCTGGGTATGGTTGCCGTTGTTGAAGTCGCGCAGTAGGTTCTGGATGATAGGCCTGGTGGCAATTGACTGTACTGACGTCCCCATCAGAGAGATGTCCTGGGCCACCTGAGTGGCTTTTAGGTTTGCCGTGACCATGAGCGTTTCCCATTTTGCGTTGTTCAAGTGGTGCACAGTCTGGAACCAAATTGAGACGGCGAGGATGGTCAGAGACAGCAGACTCGTGAGGCCGATGACGAGGCATAGCTGTTCACGAATGTGAAGGCGGACCCCCATCTTGCTTGTGTGGGTGAAGAAGTGGCAGCGGAACAGCGGAACGGCCGGGGGGCGAATGGGAGATTGCGGGTGCGCAGCTGGCGTCAAGTCATTTGGGAGGTGGCGCAGTTGTGAGCCGGTCGAGAGGGTGGAAGCGCTGTCACTACAAGACCCTCGACTCTCCTGTCATTGTCACCCATGGCGGATATTGAGAGGATGGTACGGAGGAGATACAAACACGAAAGGACTCGACATTTTTCCCACGTCTGATGGATAAAGACACGACGCCTATTTTTGCGCCTCCCACGCATTTATTGGCGAATCCCTCGGCTTTAGCTCAGCTCGGCGCTGCTTAGTCAACGCCAACCAATTGATCATGAACAACAAGCGGAAAAGCCAAAAGACCAATTGGGAAATCGTCCTAGGAAGCAATAGGAAGTTAAGCACGGAGTCTCTGTTCCATGATGTCGAGTCGGCAGTCTATTGTACAGGTCAAATGTGTCTTTTTTTTTCCCTATACCAACAAGTCTGCTAGCCTCCGATGTCACCAGAGCGTCCAGGGGTTTTCATTATCACCATCGTAGCGGTGGTGGCGTCCGGCAGTTGGGTTTTGTAACACCACAATAAACACGGCCAAAGGGGGGAGGTCGGTTTATCTTTCTTCCTTGCGAAGTCCGAGCTTCCCTCGTTCCACAATGAGACCGGTCAAGTCCGGCAAGCTGCCCCAAGCCAGCTGTCATCGAAATCGAGTTTCTATGCAGAGAAGAGATCAAGGGCGTACATTGAGATGGATAATAAAGAAGAACAAAGATGAGCCTCAGAACATAGTTATGGGCAAAGAACGCTCACTGGCGACAACGTCTTAAGCCGGGCGAGATGATCGTAGTGGCCTCCTGCAAGTTGACTGGACTTGGAGTATGATTAGCCTCTGCGTGGGAAAGATCCGGACCCTCTGGTGACTGTTAGCTATATAGCGAGAGAACAAACTCGCTTCAATGCTCCAAGTTCATGGCTGCGTTCTGGAAGCCTTGGATACAAGTAGCCTTGCCAAAGGCGGCGAGGCTGGGGAGTCACGGGAGTCAACCCCGTGCCAGTCTTGGCGCTACGGGTGAGTACAGTCACGGAGCAGCGCATTTCGAACTTGGCGTCCAAAAGTTGCGTGAAAGGGTCTGTCCACCTGAGCTGCTCTCCAATCTCCGAGCTCTCCAAGACCGCGACAACCACCTCATTCTACAAGACTTTCCCTGCAATATCCTTCTCGATTGCTGCGCCAGCTCCCTTCCTGCTCCAGTGACAGATTGCCAACACTGTCCCGGCGCGCCCAAGGCGCGAAACATCCTCAATCATGGTTCACAAGATTCTATTCTGGGCCGGCTTCGGTGAGCACCTATCGCTATGCCTTCCCAAACACGCTCCATGGTTTTAGTTTTAACATTCTAGCAGGCATCGCCACACGCTTCGTCCAACTCGGGATAGAGATGAGACCATTTTTCCAACGCGGCACGTTATGGGTGTACCCGTTATTTGCGAGCATCGGGGGGTCGTTCGGTTATTGGTTGACGGGCGTGGAAGATAGACAAGTCAAGCTCCTACAACAGCGGAAAGAGATTATAATTGAGAAGAGACGGCGAAGAGCAGAGCGCGAAGCGGCTGCTGCGAACGCCGATCCCGCCGAGACCGCGGGCGTCCTGGCATCGACGAGTTAAACCCGACCGACGAACGAGGTGGATGAATGATACTGAGCCAGAGGATAGTTGAAAATAGACCTGGAATTTGCAGTTCACGGCAAATTGCTGAGAGAGGAGAAAAGAACGGGGAGCTGCAGCGTCAGACTACACCCTCAACACTACTATTGTACAAAGGCCTACGACATTTTGTATGACAAATGCCATATACAGCAGTCTCAAAAGTCACGATGACAAGGAGTGAATACAGCTCCGAAATGGAGCAAATCCATCACCATCACACACAAACTTGCCCCTGATATTGAGCCGCAGCGTGCAAGCGCGTTTTCCGCATGACGATGCATTTTGAAGGTTTCTCAAAATGCCCATAGCATCATGGAGAGATGAGAATAAGGGAAGAAGAAAAGAGTATTGCGCGGTTATAATATAGAATTGATAGGGATTACCATAGCCCTGATCCCACGCAGCGATCGCTTCTTCGTTGCTCCTAGCCCCCCAAAGTCCCTTCCCATCCGTTTACTATGCTCTTGGGGGAGGCTCCTCGGGATAGGACTCGGCGCCCTCTGGAATTGGCACCAATGCGCTCTTGGTCCAGATATGCGTGGCCTTGCTGAAGATGTCTCCGTCAATGCCCTCCAGACACCCTCCCTTGACAGCGACATGGCTTGACATGCCCGAGGGAGCCACGCTGACATTCATAATCCGGGTCCCGCACCTTTTGCAGTAGTAGCACTTTTTGGCTCGCCCGGAGGTCGTTCTGGAATGCTCATAAATCCCGATCCATTCACTTTCCCGACCCGCATCCCCTTCTCCTCCTTCCGGATCCGACTTCCCCTGTGATTCCGATGCCGAATTAGACGCCACGTCCGATGCTGAGGCCTGGGAAAGCAGATCAAAGTGTGGGAAGATGGCCGAGATGCCAAAGGCGCTTGCGCTCTGGCGGCGGCATTCGTAGCAGTGGCAGATGTACCACTTGATGGGCTTGTCCAGAGGGGTACGGAAGCGCACGGTGCCGCATTGGCAGCTGCCTTCCATGATGGTGCAGTGACGCGATATGCCCGAGGGAGGAACAGGAGGATTGTTACAGCAGACTCTCGGCCCGTAACCTGGGGTATCTCGATTGGAGGGAGCAGAGGACCTTTTGTTTATTGCCACGTCCAGGAATGGTCCTGCAAGAGATGGGCCAAGAGACGAGGAGTTATTATGTAATGGCGGGTCAAGACGAGGTACAGAAATCGACACCCGGCGCACTTCGACACTCACCCGACCGACGCCGCTTTTAAACACTACTCACCTCCCACTCAGCTTTAACTCGCCTCACTGACCTTTTACTTATCTTGAACGTATCTTTTAACTTACCCATAATTCGCCTGGGGCCTACCCCTTCCCTTTTTGATAATGACTTCTACTCCTACGCCAGAATTGTCCGCGGTCACATCCGCATCAACTTTCGCCCTGTCATTGAGTTTCTTCTCATCCTCCTCTGTCAACTTTCCGGCCTCGACCCTCGTGGAGTCGGGAAGCTGACTGAGCGTGCTGCTTTTCCCAAAGAACCACACGCGGAAGCCATCCAACGGCGTGCCGTGACCATGCGTCGGCTCCAGGATGAAGACAAAGTATATAATGGTGAAGGTGATCAAGGTGGGGATTTTGATGCTCTTGGTTCCACGTCGGTCGCGCCCACTTGAGCGCCGCGCACCGACGGTTTGCCTTTTCAAAGTGGAACTGCTGCCTGGGGGTCGAGGTTGTTGAAGTCGGGAGGCCACCTCCTGCGCGCGCGGTACGGGTCGTTGGTGATGTGGAACGGGCGCGGGCTTGTAGTTGGACTTCAGACGCCAGCCAAAGAGCGTCTTGAACCATGTTCACGCCGTGAGTTTGGTCGAGGTCTCGGTGGCGGCGCATAGCTTGGGCGAGGAGTCGCGAGGGCTGAGGTGGACTCGGTTCGGAAGGAGGATTCGACTTCGAATGGTTTGGGAGACGAGGGGTGCGTTGAGTGAAATTCGACGGTGCGGATTGAGAGGATTGACAACTGAATGTTTTGGCAGCTCCGGACTGTCGACCTGGTGGTGGTTTGGCTGCTGTGGCATTGTCGCATGAAAAACAATGCGTGAGATGCACGCGCCGAACATGGTACCATTATGAAGGGGCTCAACAAGTGGTGAGTTGATGAAATTTGAATGTAGATTACCCAAATGTCCCGGAGTTGAGATTTGAGATGCAATACGGAGTAAGCGAGGACAGAATGACGGAGTTTGGAGCCATGATTGATTTTTCTGAATTGGCAGCGTTTTTCTCCCTGGACTCTCCCCACCCCTGCGCCGACTCCTCTGTCACTTGCAGGCCCTCCTTTGGTACAGTACTACCAACTGGATCTAGATGACACTGCACGAATATCCTCGCAAGGGAAATTAGACTTGCATACCATCTGTCCGGAGAAAAAGTCGTTTTCTTCGAAAGCACATGGCTTCAACTCATTATTATCGTTCTCGGTACAGACGAGACAAGAAACATGTTTGCATCAACTTCATAGGAGGATCTAACTCTCCGCTCGGAGCGGCGCTGTGAGCCTGAAGATGGACAAAAACACATCTCACTACAAAATGTCTGATGAAAAAAAAATGCGACATGATTCCCTCAGCACACTCGGGTGGCCGTGGCTAACGCTTCAGCTGGGCGCTAGCTAGCCGTGCTGGCAAAATGCGGTGCTGGATGCAGATTAACTCCCACTTGGAAGGTTGACGAGGTCGGAGCATCAAGAAAGCCAGGCTTCTGAGTAGGCAGCTCTCGGAGATGATGGTACTCTTTCTGCCTCAAACCCCTGTGAAAGACGAAAGATGATCAGGACAGAGACCCCTTTTCCACCGTGGGTAAGGGTGTGGAAGTCCAGAGCATGGGGTTTCCTGCCAGGTTGGCTAAATTGGCCATGTTGGCATCATCCCAATCGAGATTGTCCAGTGGCATAAACGGGTCAAGAAAGTTTTCTGACGTTAGCATGCCGGACGTGAATTGCTGGAGCATGCCGAAATGATCCGGCTGAACAGCAGCCATGGAGCTTGCATCTTGTTCATAGGAAAGAGGGAGAGACATGGCCGTGTTGTTGTCACCATGGTTGACCTCTGGGGTGCTGTCTGTCAGTTCAGTTTGCAGCGTCGTGTTTTCCGGGCGAAGCTGGGTCGTCGTCCACAACCCCTGAGTGTGGCCCTCGGACAAGGAGAAGGAGGAGGAGGAGGAGGAGCTGTCTCCAACCTCCAGCCAGTGCAGGAGGCTACTGAACAGTCGGTACATCCAGTCCACAAATGGCCAATAGTCACGAAACTCTGCAAGACCCAACAGGCATAGCTTGGATTTGTGCTGCAGGACTCGCCTGCGTGCTCCCTGGCTTTGCTCCATCGAAACAATATGGATTGTGAAGGAGGCAAAAATAACCGCGATTCTGTGTTCCGGTAGAGATATAATGTTAGCTTGTGCCGTGTGAATCGACCTGCTAACACAACAACATGACAGCTTACAAATGGACTTGTGCCCGCGGCAGGAGACCCTCGCTGAGCAGTTCCTCGACAATACGGGTTACGGCATTAGCAGACGCCGGGGCCATTGAGATGGACTCATTTTTGTGTTTCGAGTCCAGGAAACCTTTTCGATGCAGGACAATCCGGCAAAAACTGGTCATGTTTCGTTAGACATTCCAACTTTGCAATGGGGATACATCACGTACTGGAGGCCCAACATTAGCATTGCTGCAAACAACATGGCCTGTGGGCTACGCTCCCCTTCGTGGTATCGTAACTGTTCGGGCAGCTGCTTTTCCCAGGCCGAAAGATCTTCATCGATGGCTCCCTTGGAGCCGGTGGGATGATCTCTGTGAATCTGACCGGCTCGCACGGCTCGAATTGCTCTGCCAACTATGCACATCAGCCTTTAATTCTCTTGCATGATGATTTTGGGGTGCGTACTTAAAGTCGCGAGTTTCGTCATTTCAACACAATGCATGGCTCCTAGGGGTGGCGTTTCGTCCTCGTCGCATTCAAAATCGGTCAAGCACAAGGGCTCGACGTCGCAATCGTCGTCATTAATGATCATGGGTCGGCCTACTGACGCAGCATCGAAATGATCCCGGACCTAGATCACTTAGTGAACCATCTTTGTGTGTGGACACTGGACAGGGTTCCAGCGATCGGGTGTGCCTTACATATAAAGTCCACCAGATGCGTTTCCAGAGCTTTCTATCTTTGGTGGACAGATGTGAGTCCTTGGTTCTAAGAGTAGGTGGCAGTCAGTCAATATTCATCCCCTCTCATGGTGTGTATGGTAGCGTGGGGATTTGATCATACGACCGATGCATGCCAGTCACTTGTGCCAGATGTATAGATGCCGCCAACCAGTGGCTAAAGTCTTTTTTGTCCATGGGACTCCCCCACCAGAAACACATGAGGAAGAGAACTTGAACAATCGTGACCCGATTTTGTTCGTAATCCGCATCGTACAGCGCCCTGACCCGCTTGTACAGGGTAGATTGAGCCGATCGGCGACTTGGCCAAAATTGGACGATGATGCTTTCGTCACAGCAGGTGGTGGCCGCAAACAATAATGCTTGGAGGAGAATGATGGGTGCTTGGCCCCTGTCAAAGTCGTCAAGGAACTGTTCTTTATCGAGGATGGGCTGCAAGGGATATAGCCAAGTGAAGTATGCGTCGAGGAGTTTTCTTTGGATGTCGGGAGGTGGTAAAGAGAAGGCTCCCTTCCTTCGGAGTAACTTGATTTCTTCCTGCTGCACGTCGAGATCATCCTGTGGAATATCTTGCGGCTGATCCCTCACTGTTGGGGGCACTGCATAATGGAGGTTGTTACTATCCGTGAATCGGGTGCTTAGAGGCTGTGGGCTCGCAGGATATCTGGACTTGCTGCTCCGAGCTCTTCGAAGGCTATCGGACCAGATCGATCCGTCTCCGAAATATAGGACTCTGTCGGTCGTTTTGGCAGGCTGGCCAATTTCATTCTTGTCCTGCGTATCCATCAATCGTACGAGGAGCATCTCCGAGCCCTCCTGGGGCGGGGTACTGTCGGAGTGAGGCGAAAATGAAACTTCTCCGCCCACTGCCGGTAAACTGGGGGCAGCGACGGTCTGCGTGCTGTGGTGCTCGTGATTTTCTGCCAGTTGGGTGGGTGACATTTCTGGAAGCGTGGAATAATGCTGCTGGTCGGAGGCGTCAGTCCCCTGCAGACGGGCTCGGACCTTTTCACGCTGTGTTGGTTGAGACTGAGGCAAGAATTCTTGATACATTGTAGTCGTAAGTGGTCCGAGGTCGCACTCTTTATTAGCACCCAAACAAGCCTGACATTGATATGGACCAGGTTTTCCTGCTGCTCTGTCTGACGTCTCTGGCATCTTGCATCGTATATGGCGAGAATTGCAGTATCTACACGCCAACTTCCGCTTTCGCCGACGGTACGCACGACTCGAGCTTTGCTCCATTGCTGAACAGCTGGAATTTGACGTGGGGCAAGAATCTTTTCAGAGCAGGGGATGATAGATTTTTTTTTAAGACCGTGTACATTGAACTCAACACGTAAAGCGAGATCAAAGTAAAACTGTAGGGGGAGGTAAGAGCCGTGGGTTGGCCACTGCTTTTACTCATGGCCGGGATCCCCCACACTCGCATTTCATGGGGCACGTTAGAGCCTTTTGGACCACCGAATGCGAAGTCTATTCATGGGGTGGATGTAGATCTGGGGACTAGATCTTGGGCTGCAGGACGATTGCGGGAGCAACATGGTCGCTTGCAGCATCGATCAGACCCGAATTCTTCATATAAGAAACTGCTACTTGGCCACCCGCCGTGCAGGTCCTGATTGTTTCTATCAACGGAACAATTGCGAAAATTAAGAGAGTCGGAAGCCTCTTGGAGCACTACTGTTCTATATGAATCGCATGCGTACTACAAAGCTGTAGTAATTTGGTCTGATCGATGATCATTATATCAAGAACCCTGGAATCTGCCAGTGGTAGCTTTTAGATACGAGGATGTCTAGAGCACCCATCCCCCCTCGTCCTCTTCTTGACTTCGAAGGACACGTTGAAGCTCTTAGCTGAAGGACATGGACGTACTGTGCAAGCGGAAAGGGACTTCACGGGTGAGCTGAGCTGTGGTCAACGCATTCCGAAACATTTTTGCCTCGGCCTAGTGGTAGGCCAGCTGGAGGTGACCCTCTCATCGATTTCGCCGAAATGACTGAGCCACACATTTCGGCGAATGTACCTCAACCGAGTATGAATGCAGAATGATTGTTGGCACAAGCACTTTGTTGCATGTTCCCGATTAAGACTAAGTAGCGCTTCAATCGGCACTGCCTGCGCCCGCAGCTCATCCTCGCGCAGTCCCAGCATCCTTGTACGCCTCCGACTTGGTTATTTTCATCATCTGTGACCTTATGGCTGGCGATCCTGACCGTGACTTGCCACTTGTTGTTTCTTGTACCCTTCTGACTGTCGTAATCCTCATGTGTTGCACGCTCTGACCCAAGCACCATCCACCGGTAACTCAACACCGCTCACATAACTTGCTCGCTCACTTGCTAACCACACTGCCGCTTCGGCCAACTCTTCGGCAGTACCCATTCGTCTGAATGGGATCAGGCTGACGAGTTTGTTGTAGTCTGCGCCTGCTGCTTTTGCCTTTTCCACCAACGGTGTGTTGATAAACCCAGGACAGATGGCGTTGACTCGGATCCCATCTTGTGCATACGCCACCGCATCCGTCCTTGTCAGCCCTAGTACTCCGGATTTCGAGGCGGGATAAGCCCCAGCAGTTGCGTGTGCTGTGATGCCGAAAATGCTGCTGATGTTGACAATAGTTCCTCGCTGGGTCGCTATTCCCTCGGCATGATTGCGAGTTTTCAGCGCTGGCGCTTGCTTCAGGAACTGGCGGATCTGCGCTCTTTCGCAAAGCCATAAGCCTCGAAGGTTGATGTTGATGACTCGATCGAATGCCTCCGTCTCCAGTTCGTGCGTCCGTAGTCTGGGTTTACTTGTCACGCCCGCACTATTGATACAATAGTGAATTGCTCCAAATCTAGCGACGCCAGCCTCGACCATCTGGTTGACGTCGACCTCTTTGCTCATGTCACCGACGAATAGAACAGTCTCCACGGAAGGTTCGGTGTTCTTGAGCTCGTTCGAGATCTCCTCCAGACCACTCCCAGTCAAATCCGAGAGCACGAGCCTCGTACACCCTTCCTCGACCAGGATCTTGGCACATGCTCGCCCAATTCCAGAGGCAGCTCCGGTGACGAGGCCGACCCTTTTGTTCTGGTTAGTACAAGATGACTGCTCTGTGGAAAGTAACTTCTTTACCCTGTCATCAAAAGCGGTGCCATTGTTGAAACAGACAAGTAGTTGAAGCAGTGGTTATTATAGTGACCGTCCTTTCTGTTGCAAAGTGCCTTGCTTTATGTAGACACACTTCCCGACTGCCCCTACATGCAGCTTCGTTGAGACCTGTTGGACTATAAACGTCCACGTCTTACTCCCAGAGGTAGCCCTAAGATCGTAGATATAATTCCGTCTCTTGGTCGAAAAACCCTCCCCAAGGAAATTTTGTTTCGGCGAAGTCTGGGCCAGGCACCAACATTGCTGGGTGAACCAAAGACATCGAAATCGCATTTGGCATTTTGCGGAGAGGAAAATCTCCGCTGGTTGGCTAGAGATATTTACCGTCGAGTTCCAGCATGGCCGATTGGGTCTGAAAGATCTGGGGAATAAATGAGGATGTAGCAAGGAATATCGCATCTGGCCCCGACTGAATCATGTAGATGACCTACCCAGCAATGGTTGTTTCGCCGAAGCTTCCAAACCATGTGTGAGCCTAGATCGGTCGTCACTATCAGGGCCCATCATCCCCTCCCAAATCCCCCGGCTCGGGACCTGAGTAAGACTCGTTGTGGCTTACAGGTGATGTGCAAGAGCCACATAAAAGCATGACTTTATGTGGCTTTTGCTCGAAGAATGCAACTTTCACTTCAAGTCTGGTGTTAACCATCCTGGAAACTACTCTGTGCTGGAATAAGAGAGGTCGAGCCATCGACGGTTTGTTGAAGAGATATTCACACTCTCTGCTACCTCGGATGTAAACTCTCGGGAAGCTAGTTTGTACTGCAATAGGACGCTGCTTGCTGAAACCATGGGGAGACGTTTTCACGAGGCAGTAATATTCATCACCGGGGGTACCTCTGGACTGGGAGCACAGACATGCGAGCGGTTCTTGGGTGAGGGCGCCAGGGTCTTTGTTACGGACCTGAAGGTAATTGTTTCCATGGCACATCGAGACGTCGAAGATCCCCCTCGAATCTGGCACAGGCTTGAGCCGACAGACAAGACACCTCTGCTCGCCGCCAAACTGCTGTCCGTTGCAAACTGCTAACGAAGATCAACCATGAAGGAACGAAATGCACTGCAGCGCTTTGGTCCGAACGCTCACTTCCACCAATGCGACGTCTCAGGTAAACATTCGTCTCAACGTCCTGCACATTCACCCTTCACAATTCTTCCATCTTTTACACGGATCGTACGATCACACTGACACTGAGACAATATTCAGACCCAAAGTCCTGCTTCGCCGCTGTCGATGCCTGCATTACGAGATTCAAAAAAATCGATGTCCTGTTCCACAATGCAGCAATGCTGAGTCCGATAGTCCCCGTGGCCGACCATGACGTTGACGTTTTCAACAAAGTCATCATGACCAACCTCTGTGGCGCTTTCTATCTTGCCAAAGCTGTCATTCCGCACATGAAAAAGGTGGGAAAAGGAGTGATTGTGAATACTGCCAGTGTTTCTGGCATTGGTGGAGATTATGGCCTCTCTTCCTACAACGCCGCAAAAGGCGGGTTGATCAACCTCACGCGGACAATTGCCATGGACCATGCAAGGGACGGCATTCGTGCAGTGACAGTCTGCCCCGGGTTTATGGACACTCCAATGTCGGAAGGGACGATGAAGAATGAACAACTGAGAAAAGAATTGTTCGAGAGCATACCGATGAATCGCGGAGGGTACCCGGACGAGGTGGCTCAGCTGGTTCTGTTCTTGGCTTCAGACGAAGCATCTTATATCACTGGGCATCGTAAGGGTCCCATCCTAAATGTCTCTAGTCATCTGCAGACCACTAAATGATGACAGCATTTATCGTCGACGGCGGATGGATTGCTCGTAACCCAAGTCCAAATTGGTGGAAGTACATTGGTGAAGCCTGAAGGGGTACTCATAACGACGACGAAGAGGTCATCAGGACCTCAAACCATAAGGCCACATATGATGAAAACAACCAAGTCGGAGGGCTATGTACAAGGATGCTGGGACTGCGAGGACAAGGCGTGGGAGTGGGCAGATCCCATGTCCGCGCTAGTCCTAATCAGGAACATGCAATAAGTGCTTGTACCGAGTTCGTGCTATGCCGAAGAGCTTAATAATACGATGTCTGATCTCTTGTCTTATTGCCTTTGGATTGTGAATGCATCCCTCAAAGTAAGTAGAGATTATTAATTATCTTGATCTTTACTGGATCAAGTCTTGAGCACCAGCCGGGAGCATCTCCTGAATAATAACAAATTCGCCGAATAGCAAAAGGTTGTCCCAGAAAAAAGGGCGCCAACGTCAACTCGGCATTGACATCATCTGGCGGATCATTTTCCAGTCTGAGTTCTTGTCCCTATCCTATATTTTGAAGTTATGCATAATCGCGAGTCAATCTCCTGGTCCAGGTTTATCAAATATCATGTCTCACGCGACAGGCAAGACGTACCAAGTACGCTCAGACGGCATTTTCCACGGATTGCCAGTCATCGATGCGGCTCGGAAGAACCTTCGAGCTATAGTTGTCGGCGCAAGCGGTCAGTCTGGCCAACCCGTGGTTGATGTGCTAAGCTCCAGTCCGGACCGATGGGAGAAGATCTATGCCCTGTCAAGGAGGCCGCCCACGACAGAAGCGAAGAACATCGAGCATGTAGCAGTGGATTTGCTCTGGGAGCCTGAACAAATTGCAAGTGCCTTACGGAAACACAAAGTCCAGGCGTAAGGCGGCCCCAGTTCCTGTTCGCGTAACAGGGGAGAAATTGACGTTTCTACCTGCTCAGTGATTACATCTTCTACTTCGGTTATGTGCAGGTTGCAAGACGAGGTGCCGACTCGGAGGTGTTTGGGGATGCAAATCACTTGGCCGAAACCAACGGTGAGAGAACTCCTACCAGGCACACAGATGAGTCGTGGTGGTGCTAATTTGAATTCCATACAGGGCGGCTTTTTGAGAACTTCCTTCTCGCCTTGGACCAAGCGGATGTTCAGCCCAGACGAATCGTGCTTCAGACTGGGGGAAAGAACTACGGCGTTCACCAAGGCCACGTGAACGTCCCTCTGACCGAAGGGGCTCCCAGGGTGGAATTAGAGCCCAACTTCTACTATACCCAAGAAGATTTACTGGCGAAATACGCCAAAACCCACCCTGGGGTCAGCTACAATGTTACCATGCCGCAATGGATTCTGGCGGCAGTCGCCGGAACAGACATGACCATCTTCTATCCGCTGGCAGTCTACGCTGCTATTCAGCGAAAGCTAAAGCAGCCACTGAGATATCCCGGTGATTTTGTATCTTGGGACAACAATCATCCGATATCCTCAGGCTTCATTCTTGGTACATTTTACGAATGGTTGGTGTTGACTGAGGGCACCGCAGGGGAGTCTTTTAATATCACTGATGGATCCGAGTTCACTTTCTCCAAACTATGGCCAACTCTGGCATCATGGTTTGACTTAAAGTGGCTTCCCCCTCAGGAGAACGTCAGCTACCACGAGGTAGAGCTGCCATTTGTTCCGAGAGGGTATGTTAACCTTGGGTCTTTCGTCAAATCCCTGTTACTGATGTTGTACGTTAGGTACGGCCCGAGAGGCAAGCTCCGGTCAACCTTTAGCTTCATCGATTGGGCAAAGGAGCCAGCAACTCGACAAGCCTGGGCTGAGCTGAAGCAAGAACACGAACTCAACACCGAGCCTTTACAGGATCCCGACAAGACTTTTGCTTTCCTACAGTTCGCACTCGAGCTAACATGGTCCTGGCAGACGAGGTGAGAAGTCCTCAGATAGAACGCCGAAACCAAGGCAATACTAATAGTGATCCTAGCATGGATAAAGCCCGCAAGTTTGGCTGGCATGGCTCTGTAAATTCTATCGAATCTATACACGCGGTGTTCAAAAAGTACACGGAGATGAAAATGCTTCCGCCGTTCTGAGATCGGAATTCATGCCACTGAACAACACGACTCATTGGCCATGTTTTCTGCCGAGACAGCAGTACAGCAAAATTGACGGATAGTGCTTCCCGCGGGATGTTGATCTTGTTCCAAATATGATAAATGAACGTTGCTCCATGCCTTCTAGCTATTCCTCCACGCACTTGCCCAAGTCCCAGGGGACTCTCACGAAAGTTGAGGATCGCGGTTTTCAATAGACCTAGTCAGAAGAATAGAAGAGACGTATCCAACGGCGCTCAAGGCCTTTGTCCGTTCTAAATATTAACCGACAGTCCCTTCCACTGGAGATTGTCAGAGGCAAAGTCTTTGTCAATAAAATGAGCCAATTTCGCCGGGAAGGTCAGAGCTTCGCCGAATTGTGCAGCAGCAAGCACTTCAAGAGCTCCAGTACATGGTATGCGCACGCCTAACAGCCGGATTATGTAGCGACTAGCACAGCTATAGCTCAAACTGGCCGATGTTGTAGCTTAGAATATAAGAGATTTCTGCGATTGATATCAGAGATCATTATGCCAGCGTTGAGACTCCATCCGCAAGGCCACTTACGTCTTGAATTCTAGATGTACATAACAACAGGAGATCATCTGGAAACCACAGAATCAACAGGACCTAGACGACCATGACGCGTGTCCTCCTGACGGGTGGCTCCGGCTTCATCGCGGCTCATGTATTGGACCATCTCATCCAGCGAGGATACAGTGTGGTTACGACTGTGCGCTCTACAGCCAAGGCCGACAAGATCAGAGCTGCATACCCAACCATCGGTACAGATCGACTGGATTTTGCGATTGTGGAAGACATTGCCCAAGATGACGCTTTTGACGACGCCCTCATATCCACTCCCCCATTCGAAGCGGTCATTCACACGGCCAGTCCGTTCCATTTCAACGTCACAAATGTCCAACGCGATCTTCTAGATCCTGCAACCAAGGGTACGACTGGTCTTCTGCGATCTATCGTCAAGAATGCGCCCTCTGTCAAACTGGTCGTCATTACTTCCTCCTTCGCCTCGGTTGTGAATCCTTTCAAAGGATCATGGCCAGAGCACATGTACACCGAAGAAGACTGGAATCCTGTCACTCTGCAACAAGCGTCAGAAAGCATTGCCAATGGCTACCGAGCAAGTAAAACCTTTGCCGAGAAAGCGGCGTGGGAGTTCTTGCAGCAGCAAGAGCCGCCTCTTTTCTCACTCACGACCATTTGCCCACCGCTAGTATTGGGGCCCGTGATAAGCCACCTCAGCAGCCTGGACAACCTCAACACCAGCAACCAAGTTATCCGTGATCTGATTCAGGGGAAACACAAGGACAAGATCCCGGACAACATGACCTTCACGTGGGTGGATGTGCGTGACCTCGCCCTCTGCCAC